ATGATCTTCAGTAGAATCTTGCTTGCATGTGAAATCAATGACACTGTTCTGTAGTTTCCACACTCAGTTGGGTCACCTTTCTTTGGAATGGGAAATAAACCTGGGAAACTACAAACAGGACAAATATGCAGTTCACAATTGGGATGTGCAGTCCATCTCTGCTGAGAAAGAAGGGACATCTGAAGAGGCAGCACTACAGGAACAAGTGAAGTGGAGCATGTGTGAACTGGGGATGAGAAGATGTGGAGCCCAGTTCCCTAGCTGCAGTGTGTCATTTAGGCAGATCTCTTGAGTTCTCTTACTGGTAGATTAGTCATCGTTCTACCTTACTGAGTTCCTTTGAAGATCATGAGGTCATAATGGCTGCAACATGCTCTGTAAAATGCACCACATGGACTTAGCCAATGACAAGGAATATGTGACCTAGGGGTGAGAAGAAACCATGCTACCAATTCAAAGTCCCAGGGTTTGAATCCACCAGTTGCTTCTTGGGAGAAAGATAGGAAACCTCCTCCCACGCGATTTAGCTATGAGTCAGTTCTGACTTGATGACACATAACAATATAGGTAAACATGATAATAGCCATGTATTGTGAGTCTGCTTTTTCTGATTTTGTGCTGGACACTTTTCAGTATTATCTGATTTTTATCCTCCTAACAACCCTGCATAAAGATAAGTATCTTCATCTTATAGATGAGCAAATTGAGGCCTATAGAGATTAAGTAACTTGTCCAAAATTACAGAGGTAGTAAACGGAACAGAAGGAATTTGGATTGATCTGAAGTCATAGCAGGGGTGTGTGTGTGTGTGAGAGAGAGAGAGAGAGAGTGAGTGTGTGTGTGTTTTGGCAGCTTTTGGAGAATAGTTCTTCCCCTCCATCCCCATCTTTTGATTTCTTTTCTGGCAGCTGAGTGGAACCATTTACTCAGCAATACATCACCACTTGCATGAGAAAAGTAAAAATTCCATCAAAGAGGCAAAAATTAAAAGTTGCAAAATGGATTAACTCTAGAGGTGATAATTCTTTTAATGTAAGCTCTAGTGGCACTGCCTGCAGCGTTTGCACAGAAAGGCTGTTCAGCTCCTGTGGTTCAAATCCACCAGCTGCTCTGTAGAAATAAGTCTCCTTTCAAGAATTACAGCTTTGAAAACTTGATGGAGCATCACCATCAATGGAGCGTTGGAATCAATTTGATGACAGTGAGTTTTAAGTATCTAAAAAGACACCTGAAACTTTCGTTGAGTCTCCTTATGCATTTCATACCACCAGGGTGGGATATGATGTAAAAGTGAGCTCAATGATTCCTTCATTGCTTGTCTGGACTATGCGTGGCCCTTCCTGGAATGGTGCCCCCACTCCTCCTGGAGGGAACCCATCTTATCCTTGGATATTCTATTATACTGAATTTATTCACCTACAACCAGGATAGGATAAAGTAGATGAATGGGATCGTCTAAGAATAAAATCCCTATGCACATCTAAAAACTTCTTCAACAGGGTAAAAAGGGAAGCCACAGACTGGGAATATTTGGTAATGACATACCAGAGAAGGGACTTGACTTATATCTGTTGTTGTTGTTGTTATGTGCCGTCGAGTCGTTTGCGACTCATAGCGACCCTATGTACAACAACCCTAAACCCTGCTCTATCCTGTGCCAATCACACTGCCTCTGACACACCCATCCCGATTACCCCAGTCACTGAATTAATCCATCTCATAGAGGGTCTTCCCCTCTTGCGCCGTC